TCGTCGTCGTCGTCGTCGTCGTCGTCGTCGTCGTCGTCGTCGTCGTCCTTCCATTATCTTTACCTGCTTCTTCCTTTTTGAGTCCTCGAGGCTCAATGAGACTAATCTGTATAAATAAAGGTTGAATGAATGAATGGATGTCCATATCCATCAGTCACTGAATGAGAATGTGGGGGACACCCTGAACAGGTCTCCAGTCCATCACAGGGACACATGGAGACAAACGAGACAAACAACCACTCTCTCACTCACAGCTAAGGACAATTTAGAGTTACCAATCAGTCTAACATGCATGTTTTTGGTCTGTGTGAGGAAACCGGAGTGCACTGAGAGAACATGCAAACTCCACCCAGAAAGACCCCGGGCCGGGATTTGAACCGGCAACCTTCTCACTGAGTTTCTGAGCTTCTCCCCACCATCACTGACATCTACACCTCCAGATGCAGGAAGAGGGCCACCTGCATCATGAAGGACCCCACTCACCCAGCACACACACTTTTTGCCTCGCTCCCCTCAGGCAGGAGGTTGAGGAGCATTAAGGCCAGAACCACTAGACTGAGGAACAGCTTCTACCCTGAGGCTGTTAGACTCACAAATCTCTAACCAGGATTATCACTGTAATGCCCCTTTGTTTGGTGAAATGTGCTGCTGATTATGCTGCTGATAATTTCATGCTGCTGTATTCATTCATACTCAACTACTCATACAGACTCATGTTCGTGCTGTTGTTGTTCGGCGTATTGTTTTGCAGTATTAGTGTTTAGCGGATTTCTTAGTTTAACGTATTTCTTTGTTTGTGATGCATCCAACCACCGCTGTATCGTCGGCAAACTTTACAATATGACAGCCTGGATGGGTAGGTGCACAGTCATACGTGAGCAGAGTGAACAGGAGAGGGCTCAGCACACAACCCTGAGGAAAGCCAGTGCTGAGGGTTATGGTTTAGAAGTTGTGGATCCTCACAGACTGTGGTCTGTTTGTTAAGAAGTCCAGGACCCAGTTGCAAATGGAGGGGCTTAGTCCTAGTGTGAGTAGTTTGTCCATCAGGGTCTGGGGAATCATGGATTTGAAGGTGGATGTGAAGTCCACAAAAAGCATACGGATGTAGAAGTCCTTCTGCTTTAGATGGGTGAGAGCAGTGTGGACCACAGAGGAGCTGGTGTCCTCTGTTGATTGATTCTTGCGGTGTACAAGACTTTCCACTGTTGCCTTCATGCTTACTCAAGATAGTTCTGCGATGAAGTTAAATTCAAAGCAGTCTGCTCCTCAGATAAATAGTTTTAACTTTTTTTTTCTTTTTTAATATATGAATGCTTCTGTTCAGTGCCCTGAGATGACTTCTGTTGTGACTTGGCTCTATATAAATAAACTGTGTTGAATTGAACTGAATATGCACCTCTCATTTTAGCCCACGGGGTGGCAGTATTCAGCAGGTAGTTGACAACATAAACGTACAGTATATATGTCTATGGCTTTACCCGAATGAAACGGGACTGTTAGTACGTCCTGTAAATGAAAACAGCAAGAAAGTAGAACTTCTAAAATGCGGCAAGTAAAAACTTATTTCGATTAAACCAACGACAACATCTCCAGAGTCCACTGGTTGCCAGGTTTTAGATCACGTGACCTCAATGGGGCTCCCGTATTGGTCCTTTACTCTTCTTCTGGGATGAACTAGTCTTTGCCGTAATGTATTTTGGGGTTTAAAAGCCACTGGGACATTGTATTTAGAAAATAAATGTCTCAGTTTCTCTGATACTCCCTCAACATACGGAATGACCACTGGTCTGGGTCTGGGTTCCTCCTTTTCACCTGATGGCTGACTGGAGTCCTGTTTGGGTTTCTTCTCTGCTTTCAGGAAGGCCCAGTTAGGATATCCACATTGCTCTAGAGCCTGTCTTGTGTGGGATTTCTCCTTCTGGCCGGCTCCTGAGCTAGTGGGGACGCTGTCTGCTCTGTGGTACAGAGTCCTGATGACTCCTAACTTGTGCTCCAAAGGGTGATGGGAGTCAAACTGCAAATACTGGTCTGTGTGGGTGGGTTTGCGGTACACCTCAGTTTGCAACTGTCCTCTATCAGAGACTGAGACCTCACAGTCCAAGAAAGCCAACCTGCCATTTTTTACATCTTCTCGTGTGAACTTGATGTATTTATCCACAGAGTTGATGTGGTCAGTAAAATGTTGGACTTCCTGAGATTTAATTTTAACCCAGGTGTCGTCAACATACCTGAACCAATGACTTGGTGGTGTCCCTGAAAAGGACGTCAAGGCTCTCTTTTCTACCTCCTCCATGTACAGGTTGGCAACAATAGGAGAAACTGGAGACCCCATAGCACACCCATGTTTCTGCCTATAATATTGCTCCCCATATGTGAAGTAGGTTGACTG